AGAAAAAAATTTAGGACTCCCAGAGAAGGAACTTTTTAGAAACTGGGGGCAAAGATCAACTTTTCTATGAACTTGAAAGGAACCTTAGCCAAAGAATGGCCATCTTTGGGGTAATTAAGACCAAGCAAAAAATTTTCAGTTAGCTATTAACTTGGAAACTGATGGCACCAATTCCTGAGGTTAGTAAAGGAAATAAGAAACTGCCCAGAGATGAAATCATGCCCCCATCAAGCAAAAAATTTTCAGTTAGCTATTAACTTGGAAACTGATGACACCAATTCCTGAGGTTAGTAAAGGAAATAAGAAACTGCCCAGAGATGAAATCATGCCCCCAAAGGATCCTTCTTACAAGTTTACTTCTGTTTACCTCCCATCACACCCTCTTATGCTGATTTACCTTAGATGTTGTGCACCTACAATTAAGGATTGCAACTAAGTTTTCTCGCTTTTCTTACCTCCCAAATCAGCTGCAAACAATGGAAATACAAGAGAAAGACAAAATACCCTAGCTGATTATTAACTCACCTTCTTGCTTAAAGGAAAACTGCATCCACATTAATTAGAGGTCCCAGTCAGATATTTTTATGTTCCAGTATGTTTGACTGAAGTTACTGTCTTTGAGCCCTCCCTAGGAGATAAAGACTCCAACTTGGAAATAACATCAAGGGCTTGAAGCTGACCAGTCCACCAACTGCAGACTCCATGACGCCAGAGCACCCAGCCCATCATGGGACCCTGACATCAGACTCAGACTGTCTACTGATCCCATGACCAGCCTCTCCCTTTTTCCTGCAAGACAAAACCCTTCCCTCACCTTCCTGCCTCTTCCCCTTTATAAACTCCAGAACACACAGCAGAAGGTAGGATGATTTTAGCCTGGTCATCCCCCAGATGCCATTTATCTGAATAAACCTTCCAATCCTTGCACCAACTTTTTGACTTTCGAGTCATTTGTTTAGTGCAAGAGGGAAAGCCAAGCCTAGCTGCTGCTAACAAACTGGCAAAGAACTTGGCTGCATTATATCCTTGCCCTAGGACTTTGTAGAAGTTGGAACTTAGGAGTTGTGAACCAGAGTATATGGCGCAAGAAATTTCTAAGCAGGAAAGCCTTAAGGAAGCTGCATGGCTACTTGTAACAGCCTACACTGAGTTATGGCAGCAAAGTCACAAGATAAAGCCAGAATTTAAAAGGAAGAAGAGCATAAAGATTTAGAAAATTTGCAGCCTGTCCATGTGGTAGAGAAGCAGAGAGCATTTACAGGAGAAAAATCCAGTGGTGCAGCAAAGGTACTGGTTGCTAAAGACATTAGCATGGCTATGAGACAGCCAGATGCTAATAGCCAAGACAATGGGAGAAAGGCCCAGAAGGCATTTCAGAGATCTTGGAGGCTGTGTCTTCCATTACAGGCCCAGAGGTCTAGGGAGACAGAATAGTCTTGGGGAACAGGCCCAAGAAGCCCTTCACACGCTCACTGCCCAGGGCCACCTTGGGAAGCTGCTTTTAGCACCAGCACCCCAGCTGCTTTGGCTGCTCCAGATGTTGCTAAATTGGCCCCAGCTTTGGGGCTGGACCTGCAGCTTTGGAAAATACAAGCCAGAGGCCTTGGCTGTGTCCAAGAGGTGATAAGCTTGCAGGCTCACAGAATGCCAGAGCTGGGAAGGCTTGGGAACCTCCACCCTGATTTCAAAGGATGTATGGAAAAGCCTGGTGACCCAGGAAGAGATCTGTCACAGGGGCAGAGTCACTGCATAGAGCCTCTGCTAGAGTAATGCCAAGTGGAAATGCAGGATCATAGTTGCACCAGAGAAATCCCACTAGAGCCATGCCTAGTGGAGCCATAGAAGCAGGACTGCCATGGAGAACCCAGACCTGTGGAGCTACCAGAGTGGAACACCAGCCTAGCAGAGCTGAAACACCGCCTGAGACCAGGAAAGTCATAGGAGCAGAGCTACATGATGACTTGGGGACCCAACCCCTACATCAGCATGCAAAGGACATTGAACATGAAGTCAATACACATGATTCACCAGTTTTGAGATTCATAGGAGCAGAGCTACATGATGACTTGGGGACCCAACCCCCACATCAGCATGCAAAGGACATTGAACATGAAGTCAATACACATGATTCACCAGTTTTGAGATTTAATGCCTGCCTTGCTGGGTTTCAGACTTGTTTGGGACCCACTACATCTTTCTTTTGGCCTATTTTTCCCTTTTTGAACGAGAATATGTGCCCTTTGTTTACCCACCATTGTATCTCCGAAGTAGATAACTTGTTTTGAATTCACAGGTGGGACTATGAACTTTGGATTTATGAGTTGTAACAAGACTTCAAGGATGAAATGAATGCATTTGTATTTGAAAAAGACATGAGTTTTGGGAGGCAAGGGGCACAATTCTCTAGGTTGAATGTCCCCCTAAAACTTTATTCCCAGTGTAACTGTTGAGGGAAATCCTATTATGGAAATTGAAAGGTGGGGCATTGAAGAGTTGATGGGATTGCAGGACCATGCAGTAGTGAACAGATTAATAATGGTGGTCAGGGGCGTGGTTCTGAGAGATTTAAAAGAAGAGAACCTGAGAGGTAGTCTTTTTCTGCTCCTCCGTCTTCAGCCATGTGAGACCCCTGGATCCCTGTTACCACCACCAAGACTGTCACCAGATATATTCCCTGGACTTTGGACTTCCCAGCCTCCAAAACCATAAGCAATAAATTTTGTTTTCTTTATAAAGTACCCAGTATCGAGTATTTGGTTATAAGCAACAGAAACAGACTGATAGAGGAAGTGTAAGAGAAAATAAATTATTGACATGACTACATGTGAAGTTCAGTAGAGAAGTTGTCAGAAAGTCAAGATTAAAAGGAAAGACATTAATAATTGAAGAAATCATAAGAACTGTTACTATACAAATGTTTTGGGGCCTGACCAATAATCTCATTTTCTGCATCTTTTTTATTTATATTTGGTCTCTAAAAAGCAACTAAAGGAGATTAATCTCTATTTTTTTTTATAAAACGTATAAGGCAATAGCCCTATACTACCTGATATTTTCTAAAAATAAAGCAGAGACTAAATGGTATTCAATTAAGTGTTAATAAAATTCTCGACTGTTATAGGTTACAATCAAATGCTCTATGACTTCTCTTTCTCACAAAGTTCGTGCACTCAACATTGCTTTCACAACAGCTTGGGAATAAGGATATTCAAAAGGCTTCCACAAGGAAGAAAAATAGAGAAGGCATAATAAGAAGTGACACTAAATCTAAAACAACTGATGTGAATTCAATTAAGTCAATTATTTTATTGTTAAAAATAAGAAAATCTGAAAAAATAAAATTAGTCAATGGTAATTTCTTCCAGGGATGCACGCTGTTTTTTTGTGACGTCTTTTTCAATGTTAACTGGGGAAAAAAAAATCTTTCATCATCCAAAAGGAATTTGTTCTTAGAAGTAAGATAATCTCAAAGAACTTTCTATATTACTTTGGTAATGTCAACTACAAAAGACAGAAAACAAGGTGAGTTTTTGTTCATTGCTAGGTCACCAGCACCTACAACAGTGCCTGGCCTGTAATAGACAGTCAATAATATTTGATGACTGAGTAAAAACTTCTCCTCCAATTGTTTTTCACATAAAACCCTATACAAACAATCCAAACTAACCCAAGAGAACTCAAACTCTTCCCCTAACCCATGAGAAATGTAAAAAGACTAGTAAGTTAGGACAAGGGGAAAGCCAAGATCATTGAATGAGAGCATTATTAGGATACTGTAAGCAATTTTTGAAATGCCCACCTATGTGAGATCTTTTTTGATTTTTCCAATTTAAACCACAGTGGTAAATGAAGAAAGGGAGGAAAGGAAAGAAGAAAAGAAGGACCAACATGTGGTTATGAACAGCTACTAAAGGGACTTTTCTATTTTTGATATTTATTAGCATGGTTTAAAAAAAAATACTTAACTTCAGGAAAATAATTATACAGGATTCAAGGGCTAAAACAATATCCATGAAGCAAATTTTAGAAGTCATACAATTACCATTGCTCTGAGACTATTTCTGATAAGTACTTATTAAGCATGTAGAGAGCTTTATAAAGACTATGTCAATATTTCATTATCTAAAAGACATTTTCTATTGACATGTTCACAAGATGAAAGAGAAACTTAGACTGGAATAACATTAAATATTTCATTTGGGTTATATGAAGTTACATGCTTTTTACACCAATTTTCTACCTTTCATTATAATTTTGAAAATCCTTTCAGTGCACTAACTTACTACAATTAGAACACAACTTCACTAATAAAAATAGATAAATAGGAGGAATGATACATATCTACTTCCAAATGTGTCATCCATGTTAGATCTAACTTGCATAATTATAATTTGAACTAAGCCATTTCCTTTTATGAGGTCCTTTCCTTTGATTTTTAATAAATTTTGATAATTGCCTCATCCATGCTAGATAAAAGCAACAGGAAACAGTAGCTGCCTAGTTACACTCCATTCATGGTTACCACATCATTCATGATTACTACACAACTCTAAATTAATAGTGGCATCACAATTCTACCTCATGCAGGTAGAATTTTTACTGCTCCAAAACCAGAAATATCGGTACTTTTTTGATGTGCTTTCTGTAAGTTTCACTCCCAAAATAAGTCTCTGTTCTCTCAGAGAAGAAAGATTCCTTCTGTTTTTAGGAAGGGCTCAATTGCTACTAGAACAAAAATATTTTCAAGTGTAGTAACAGCAAAAGGTTTCACTAAGAAATAATGAAGAAAAAGAATCAAGGTTCCTAGCTTTGGGTCCCAGATGAAAGAGAAATGAATCCATAGGAATTTCTATATATAAGTAAATTAGTCATTAACATAACTTTATATTACCTAGATCTAAACTAGAGTTCATAGATAGGTCATCTTTACATCAAAATTTCATTAAGCAATTCTACAAAATTAAAGTTTTTCAAATACAGCTTAAAAATAGCAAAGTCACCTCTATTTGTACTGCCAAATGTGCTTTCTCCTTGTCTTTTCGCTCCATGCACCGCTTCACTTCCTCTAATTCAGATGCCATTGCGCTGAAGTTCAGCTGCACTCTCAAATCTGACATCTGCTGCTCCAGATCCTGGTTTTCCCGCTCAACCCCTTAAAAGAGAAAATGTAAATCTCAATGCTGTTCTTTACTCACAGAAGAATGTACTTTCAGTGTTACTGAGGCCTGATGTTTTAGTATCCTAGCTAACATAGTCCATTTATTCATATTGTCACTCAAAAACAATTTTCAGGCTTTGCTAATCCATTGTTTCAAGTCTCACGACTTTTCGAAAATACATACATTGCTATGTCACCCAACAGTATTCCATTTTGATACTAAAACTTAAATTGTTATCTGATTTCTAGTACAATTTATTTCAGGAAAATCCTATACATTTTTTCTTTCACTTTCCTGTTTGGAGGTCTCTACATTACCTCCAAACAGTAAAACAAAAATATTAAAAGAATATTCAACTAAGTTACTCCATCTAACTAAAGTTACTGAAGTTTATACAATGAAATGCTTTTCTTGTAACATAAATGACAAATGATGCTGCTAAATCTCTGTGTAGGATCACTAATTTATTAATTCTTACTATTGCTGAGACTATTACCTGAAATTATATCATTGAACAATATAAATTGACTTGTTAGTTAATTCAACATCAAATACTTGGTTTATGATGCACAGGGCACTAAAATACCATCTTCTTCAAAAACACATACAGTGATGAATAACATAAAAACCCATCCTCACTAAGCTTGCATTCTAAGACATATAAATTACTTCCTTAAGTCAAAATTGTCAACAACTGGAATAGATAGCATCAATTTAAAACTGTTGTTTTTCCAGTGTTTCTTTTGCAGAAAAGAAAGGAAGGAGAAAATATTATCAAATTATGATTTGTAATGATGAACATACTAATAATATTGATTTGATCACATATTGTGCACAAATACTGAGAGTCAACTCTGTACTCCATAAATAGGTATAATCAATTGTTTCAATTAAAAAATAAATTTAAAAAAAGACAAAAAGAAATATGGATATAAAATTGCTTTCAAAAAAATGTATATATCATTCATAATATACATCCCAACTTCTGTAATACTAAAGTGCTCAAAATTGTACATATTGGAATGGAAGGCAATCATTTCATAGAACGATAAGAGCACTGACAGATACTTGAGCATTATATAAAAATAGTACAAAGGATGGAGTGATTAACTCTGTCTTGGTGAGAAATTAAGGTAGGGAGAATTAGGAACTAAGTTAGATTTAAAGAATGAATACAAAATTTCACCAAACAAAGGAAATAAGGTATTACTTTAGGGAAAAGAAACAACATAAAGCACAGGGGTATAAAATTGGATTTAATATTCAGGTAATTGCCCACACAGTAGTTCTACACAGGTAACTCAAATAATGTGATAGTGGGAAGAGGGAGACTTGGCAAACATTTTCTGTAAAGGATCAGATAATAAATATATTTTAGCCATATGATCTTTGTCACAACTACTCAACTCTGCCATTGTATTGCAAAAGTAGCCTAGACAATGTGCAAATGAATGGGCATAGTGTGTTCCACTAAAGTTTATTACAAAAACAGGCAGCAGTCTGGATTTGGCCCATGGGCCCTACTCTGCCATTCCTGCTAGGTCTCCAACCTGACAATGTACATATATGTTTATGTGTAAGTATATTTATTCATTTTATAAATACATGTATGAGATTTCATAAACATATATATGTGTGTATATATATATATATATATATATATATATGAGCATATAACATGTCTCAAAAGCATGTGTATATATAGATACATGTTTCATGATATACATGTATATATATAACTTGAGCATGGATATATATTACAACATTAGTATGAATACATATTATATAAAATATGAAGGCATATGTGTATACATACATACATACATATGTATATCTTAGGGAACATGTATATATTTGGTATGAAAACATATATAATATTTTGGTATGTTTCATAATACATATACAGAAATAAAAAATTAGTATGGATATACACACACACATACATGCACACATATATACAATGAAACATTTAACAAAATTAAAATATTTTAAACAAAGTATAACATATAAATAGCATTACAAACACTCTCCACCCACATCCAGAGGATTGTCTCATACACTTCATTTTGGGTCAGTACAGGATAGCAGTTAAGAGCTCAAATTAAGGGAAGAAAAGATTTTGGTCTGCTAGTTCCCATATGTGTGATCGTGGGCAAGTTAATCTTTGTTCTTTGGCCTTTTTTTTTTAATCATTAAAATGGAAATAAGAATAGTTCACTTCTCATAGAGTAGATGTGTGAATTAAGCAAGACAATGTAAATTGAGCAGCATAATGTATGTAGTAAGAACTCAGTAAATTGTAATGAGAGGCTTTAATGGGAGGCTTTAATCAAAAAAATAACACGATCAGTTGTCGTCTTAGAAGTGTACCTTTAGTAACAGTATAGAAGATAGATTACAGATGAGTCAGAATAAAGCAAGATGATTTAAGAGGGTGGTTCAGGTGAGATGAAGCATGTCTTAGCTGGGGCAGTGGGAATAAGAAAGGATGGGACAAATTCAAGAGCTATCCAGATGTATAAATAGAGAGGACACAGGGACTAATTAAATGGAGAGAAGGAATAATTTCTATGTTCTTTATGTTTTAGGCTTGGGTATCTGGATGAAGGACGATGCCATTAATTGAAACAGAAAAGCAAAACAGATTTTGAGGAGAAGATGAATTCAGTTGTAAATCTGTTGACCGGGCATTCTGTGGAACAACAGTATATGGAGATACTCAATGAGCAACTCCATCTGGATAGCTGAAGGTTAGTAAAGTAAGTGGAGCTAGATTTAGGAATTATCATTTATGGATGATAACTAAAGCATAAGAGTAGATAATAACCCCTAGGGAAAAATACGAAGTAAGAAAAGCCATGAACAGGATACTAGGCAAAACTACCATTTAAAAGACAAACTGTAAACAAAGCAAAAAGATTCAAATAAAAAGAACAAAAATAACTAAGGCAGAACTAGGAAAGGGTAAGGGCATAGAAGTCAGTGGAAACGTTTCAAAAGGGAAGAGGAAATAAACAGGGGACAATAACAGAAGTAATGAAATAATTATTTTGTAATTGACTGAGGAGACCACTAAGCAAAGTCAACGCTAGAAAAAAAGGTAGAATCCATTTTGCTATGGGCAGAAGAACAAACAGCAGCCGGAGTGTGACAAGAAGTACGATTTCTTATGTAGAATTATCTGTAAACAATACAGACATTCTATAAAGATGAAAAACTCTAGAACTGTTAAAAGAAGGTAAAGTCCATTATCACATTGATAAGAGAACTTTCAAACAGATTTTTTCTAAAACCTGATTAAGTAGTTAAGACAGATTTTTCTAATCTTCAAAGACTTACACTAAAAATAAATAGGTTTTACAAGGTATCAAAATGTATAACACATGTGACAAAGTATTTTTGTATCCTTATGAAAATTTGATAATCTAATAGCTTAGGATTTTATTTTTAAAAATAAATATTTGATTCCAAATGATACTTAAATTATAATAGCACATGAAACGTAAATGAACTTAATGGCATACAAATATATCAGGACAACTTTTTCAAAATTTGTCATTCATTGAAGATATTCTGGCAATGTGTAAATTCTAGCTTAAACAACATACTGAGTTATGTTTGGAAAGTCTAGAAAAATATTTAACTTCCCTGAGTTTAATAGTTCATCAAATGCTTACAAGGGTTTCTACAATTATTGGGGCAGTTGAGTGGGAACCCTCATTATTGGAATAATTTACAAACTGAGCAATCTGGACTCACCTATTAGGAACCATTATAAAATCTCAATATCACCATTTTTGTTAAACCTGAACTTGCATCCAGAGTTATTAAATTACATCATTTAAACTAAAGCCTCCATTAAGATGGTATTATAACATTTCCATATAAGAAAAAGCCAGTGATATGGCTCATGACCATTTCTGGGATGTGATTAATTTTTGCCACCAATCTCCAAATAACAAAAAACATAGGGTCTTAATTGTAATTGTTCATATAGCGAAAACTGGAGCAAAGGAAAGTAAGAAATAGAGGAGCATTTACAATTTGAGCACAAGGACAAGTACGCATGTGCATACACACAGAGGCATGGGAATAGAAAGCTAAAAATTTCCATTACTGTCTTCGCAGGCTCTTTATAAAAGAAAGTCCCAAGAAATAGGCAGGTTTGACATCAGAAATGAGTTTAGAAATCAAGCACAAAAGACACTAAAATTAGATGCTAAATTATGATCAACTTGTTGGAAAACATTGTAATAGATCAAGAAATAGACAGGATGACATAAGCATACCATAAGAAACACAATTCCGAGAATGGAAATTATTTTCTAAGAAAGACCAAAAAAGATCTACACATTTACAAATCAGAATTATACCTCTCCTAAACCTCCAGTCATCTCCTTGCTTATCCTGGTGGTTTGACTGTTGCTTGGAAATCTGAGATACTTGATGCTGTAAACCTTTTCGATCACCTTCCTACCTAACATGTTATGTAGGTGACTTATGTAACACACACCTCAAAACAGAAGAAGGTACAATTGCAGTTCGTATTAAACACAGAGAGGCAGTTAGAAACCCACATGCCCTTATCCAATGCATGTAAAATCACATACCTAACATGTTATGTAGGTGACTTATGTAACACACACCTCAAAACAGAAGAAGGTACAATTGCAGTTTGTATTAAACACAGAGAGGCAGTTAGAAACCCACATGCCCTTATCCAATGCATGTAAAATCACAATTTAAAGTTACTGAACTTTAAATATCAGAAATGCCAAACTCCCATTACGGGCTAATGAACTGAAAAATATGCTTTAAAATGAAGCCTTATCTATGGTTAAAAGGGGCCAGGTAGCATGTTGAAAACATAAATAAAAGACAACGATGTATTCAAAGGAACTTGAACATGCAAAGGTCTGTTTTATGTATTTTACTTCCTCCTTTACTCTTCAAGTCCTCTTTGAATAAAATTAAGCTCCTGGGAAAATTTTTATCTTACACATCCAGTCTTACTTTTACACTGCTCATGCTAAGAAAGATAAGTAGCAATTTGAAGCAGCAGTTAGAAAGATCCATTGCCACCGTGGGAACTTGGGCCAGTGTTTTGTACCAGCTTTCTCTGAATCTTCCTAAAAGGATTTCACCTTTTGCTTATGTGTGCTAACATACATTCCTTAAGAAAAATCATCTTCGAGATCCATGTTTTTTTTTTCTTTCACAAAGACATTTAGTAGAGAAGGTGACTCAATCCTGACTTAATGTAAAAGCTGATTATCACAGTTTACGTAGACTTACCTGATGCAAAAGTGTTTCTCTGCTGCCCTCTGATTGATTCAGTAACCTTCGAGATAGTTCCAATTCCTGTTCAAGCTGTAGTTTCAAGAAAGGATAAAGAAAAGTGTCCAACCAATGGGGTAGAAAATAACTAAATTATTATGGGGAACAGTTTAAGAGGAGAAAATGAAAAAGTTTTCAGGATATATTTACAGCTAATATGAAAGGATAAATATCTCACTATAAACATGTCAATACTTTCATTAAAATAACATTAATTGCACAAATAAAGTGAACTAGACTAGGCCTCAAGAGGTCTAGGATCTAGTCAGTTTCATCTCCACTGTGATCCTGTCTAAGTCTCTTCTCCTTAGTCCTCTGTTCTGTCATCTCTAAAATAAGAAATTCATATCAGTCTCTGAGATGCCTTCAAGTTCTAAATCATTTTAATCTAAATTCTAAAGCAATTTTTTCTTTAAATTAGAACATGTAGTATCAAATGAACTAAATTAAAATAAAAACTGCACGGACCCAATGATTCAAAATACATTTCATCTAATTGGTGATTTCTTATATTCCTAATATTTCTAATATTCATAAGATATTCCTAAACTTTTAAAATTTCTAAAGTCAGAATAAGACACTTAAAATTTCCTTAATAATACTGCCATTAGATAAATATCCATGGAACATGTAGCCAGTTAGGTGACTAACTATCCTATGAGGTCTGAATATGCCTATCTACTTCAGATTGAAAAGTGTAGTAGAATGGGACACAAGTTTGTTCAAAATTTAGAGCTTACAGATGCTAGACTTGTTTGCATTTTGCTAACAGTAAGTTTGTTTTGTAAAATCACAAATTTATATTAAGATGTTTTTAAGAGCTTAGATTTATAATATTTATCCTAAATTATCATTTCATTTGAACAAACTGCTATCTATAAATACATAGTAGTCTTTTAAAAATTGTACATTTGGTAGGTGTGCCTATCAAGGAGCATGAGAGAGCTTTGTGGGGATTGAACAGTTCTGTAGGCTGATTGTGGTGGTGGTAACATGAATCTACACAAGATAAAAATAAATAAAACTACACACATGCACACAAACACACTCAACACACAAATGAGTGCAAATAAAACTGGTGAGATCTGCATAAATTCTGCAGATTGCACTAATGTCAATTTCCTGGTTTTGATATTGAATGAAAATTATGCAAAATGTTACCTTTAAAGGAAACTGGGTGAAGGCTGCATGGATCTCTCTACATTTTGTTTTGCAACGAACTATGGATCTATAATTATGTAAAAGTAAGTTTTAAATCCAGTTATACAATTTTTTAAATTATACCTGTAGCTCATAAAATAAATGTCATTTTTTTAAAAGTAAAGTATACATGGGATCACAGAATCCACACAAAATATTGTCCAACCTGTTCTCTCATTTCTATAAAGAAATAAAGAGAGAAATCACACTACAGTCAAAATGGCTTTGAAATCAACCCAAGCCCACTCTGGTCATAATATCTGTATAATATCAGCAGTCTCAAATCCCAAAGAGGGAACTTGATGACCTGACATACCTGGCTTATCATAAAGGCAACTTGGAAGCTGATGGAGTTTGGATGTTTTGTCCTCCCAGAACTCATGTGGAAATTTGATCCCCAATGTGGCAGTGTTGGAAACTGATTGAGTCATGGGGCGGACCCCTCATGAATGGACTAATGTTCTCATTAGGAGGATTAAGGAGTGAGTTCTCACTCTATTAGTTCCTGCGAGAGAGGTGTTTGTATAAAAGACTGTAAGCAATAAATGTCATTTTTCTTTATAATTACCCAGTTCCATATATTTTGTTATAAGCAACAAAAATGGACTAATACAGAAATTGGTGCCAAGGAGTGGGGTGTTGCTATACAGATAACTGAAAATGTGGATGCTGCTTTGGAACTGGGTAATAGGCAAAAGTTGGAGAAGTTTGGAGGACTTAGAAGAAGAGGAAAAAGATGAGGGAAAGTTTGGAACATTTTAGAGATTGGTTAAATGGTTGTGACCAGAATGTTGATAGAAACATGGACAGTAAAGACCAGGCAGATGATGAGGTCTCAGATAGAAAAGAGGAACTTATTGGGAATTGGACAAAAGATCACCCTTGCTACACCACAGCAAGGAACTTGGCTGCATTGTGTCCATGCCCTTGGACTTTGTGGAAGGTGGGACGTAAGAGACGTGAACCAGAATGTTTAGCAGAAGAAATTTCTAAGCAGCAAAGCATTAAGGAAGCTGCATGGCTACTTGTAACAGCCTACTCAGTTACGGCAGCAAAGGCATGACATAAAGCGAGAATTTAAAAGGGAAGCAGAGCATAAAGATTTGGAAAATTTGCAGCCTGGCCACGTGGTAGAGAAGCAGAGAGCTGGAGAAAAATGCAAGGGTGAAGTGGATAAACTGTTTGCTAAAGACATTAGCTTGGCGGTGAGGCAGCCAGATACTCATAGCCAGGACAAAGAGAAAAAAAGCCCTAAAAGCATTTGAGAAGCCTGGAAGGGTGCCCCACTCATCACAGACCCTGAGGCCTAGAAGGACTGAGTTGTCCCAGAGGACAGACCTGTAGTGCAGCTGCCCTTGGGAACCTGCTCCCTGTATCCAAGGTGCTCTGCCTTCAGCAGCCCTGCCTCAAGCAGCCTCAAGTGTGTGGTTCATGCAGCAGTTCTGAAGAGCAGAAGCCTGAAACCTCGGTGGCATCCACATTGTGTTAAGTCTGCAGGCCAGCAGAACATGAGAGCAATGGAGGTGTGGAAGCCTCCATCCAGATTCCAGAGGATATATAGAAAAGCCTGGAGGCCTACCTGATAGAGCTGCGGGAGTGAAGCTGCCCAAGGCTATGGGGGCCCAGATGCCCAATTGTGCCCAGGATGCAGGACTTGGAGTCAAAGAATATTATTCTGGAGCTTTAAGATGTAATGTCTGCCCTGCTGGGTTTCGGACTTGTTTGGGACCTGTTTCACCTTTCTTTTGGCCTATTTCTCCCTTTTGGAATGGGAATGTGTACCCAATGTCTGTTCCAGCATTGTATCTTGGCAGTAGATAAGTTTGGTTTTGACTTTTACAGGTTCACAGCTAGAAGGAGTTTTGCCTTTGGTCTCAGATGAGACTTTGGACTTCAGAATTTTAAGTTGGTGCTGGAGAAACCTAAGACTTTTGGGACTGTTCGGATGGAATGATTGTATTTTGTATGTGAGAGGGACATGAGTTTTGGGGGGCCAGGGGTAGAATGATGGAGTTTGGATGTTTTGTCCTCCCAGAACTCACATGGAAATTTGATCCCCAATGTGGCAGTGTTGGAAACTGATTGAGTCATGGGGGCGGATCTCTCCCTGGGGAAGTGGGGATTAAGGAGTGAGTTCTTGCTCTATTAGTTCCCACAAGAACTGTTTTTATAAAAGACCCTGGCACCTCCACCCTCTTTTGCTAGCTTGCTTCCTCTTGCCATGTGATCTGCTTATGTACCCACCAGCTGCCTGCCAGTTTTTGTCATGAGTAGAAGCAGCCTGAGGCCCATGCCAGATGCAGCTGTCCCAGAACCATAAGCCAAATAAACTCTTCTTTGTAAGTTACCCAGTCTCAGGTATTTCTGTTATAGCAACGCAAACAGACTAAGACAGAAGCATTATTTAACTCTACATTGGCTGGTGAAATAAATAAAGGAGGTATGGTAGGTGGAAAAAAGTGACATGGAATAAAGAACAGGCAAACTTTTACTTCATCATTCATTACCTTAGGCTCATCCTTAAATCTACTTATTTGCAAATTGAGGAGAGTTGTTTGGCCTCTAAATTCCTTTCTAACTCTAAGTGCTAGGTTCCATGGGCTCAAAGACATGGATATACATCATAGGTCCTTAATATTTAATGAGAATAGAGTATGATTTCAGACTAGGCTAACTATACTTATCTTCTGTAACAAAAATGAATATTTCCAAAATATTCAACCTTCAAACAATAGGTCATTCTTAACTCTGCAACAAAGTCAAAGTCTTTAAATGTTCCCCAGTAAGGAAAGGTAAAGTTTAAATTGCCTCTCGAACAGGAGTGGCCATAGGTAGCAAACCACATGTGTATGTTTCCAAAAGCAAGTAGTAAAGAGTGACAGAGCATTGAACTAAGTGATGCCTCAACAAAAGATAAAGTCTTCACTGTGTTCTAATAAACAATCTCAGGGATACTTTTCAAGGCATTCAACAAATATCACTAGCCCCAAACCACATTATTCTTTGAAAAACAACTTTGAAAATCTTACTTGATTCTTCTCAGTTTCAGTTTGTTTTAGCTTATCTTTTATTACTCCCTCATTCTCATCTGCTTTAGCTTCTTGTTTCTTCAGTGCCTAGAATGAAAGGGGTGGGGAAAAATGTATTATTCCAAAATATGTATAAAACTGAAAGTATTTATTTTAAAAAAGGCTGAGAAGCATATGGTTATGAGCCACACAAAATCTGTAAATGAATTACAACTTGCTCATTTACTGAAGCCCTAAGAACACTTCAGTGAGGATAAAAATATAAACAACTTCTTGATATTCCTAATCAATTTTTGCTTAGTTTCATTATTGCCCCCATCTTTGGGAATTCAGTTACGCACTTAAAGAGTCTAATTAGCTAATAGTTTTCTTGGAAACAAAGCTTACTGAAAGCAAAGCATACTGAAAAAATAGTATTTAAGAGTAAAAATAACTTAAAAATAGTATTTAAGAGTTAGTATTAAAAAGTATTTAATAATTGATCTGCTCAACTATTTAGACATAATACAAAAACGAGATATTTTTTCAAATTCTGAAAAAGTATTATCTACATGATAGAAACATGCTTGTTGCTTTATTACATATATGACGTTTTATCACAACATATAACTGGCTCAAACCATATTTCATAGAGAAAGGTGGGCACTCTTCTACAGTTTCCCTGCTTTAATAAAATGAAAGAAAAAAAGAACTTTAAGAAAATACAAATTTCTAAATTTAATCACGAAAGTGTTTGTTTTGGTTTGCCTCTAAAATTTTTTTTTTCAATTTAGCAATCTTGCTTTTTATTTTTTTAACCATTTTTTAGGCTTTATTGAAGTGTCATTGACAAATAAAAATTGTATATGTTCAAGGTATACAATGTCAAGTTTTCTTTATTTATTTAAATTTATCAATATACAATGTAGCTAATTTTCATGCCTCTTTACCATTTCCTCTTTCTCCTCTCCCTCTCCCCACTCCCACCCATCAACATCATATCTGTTCATTTGTCTTGACAAGTTCAAGGAATTGTTGTGATTGTTGTATCTTCTTCCCTACCCCCACCATTTGTTTGTATATTTATTTATTTAGCTCCCACAAAGTGAGAATATGTGGTATTTCTCTTTCTGTGGCTGACTTATTTCACTTAATATAATTTCTTCTAAGTCCATCCCTGTTGCTGCAAATGGCAGTATTTCGTTCTTTTTTATAGCAGAGTAGTATTCCTTGGGTAGATATACCACATTTTATCAAAGGAAGATATACAAATGGCCAATAGACACATGAAAAAATGCTCAACATCACTCAGCATTCGGGAAATGCAAATCAAAACCACACTAGATATCATCTCATTCCAGTTAGGATGGCTAATATTCAAAAGACTGAGAATGATAAATGCTGACGAGGTTGCAGAGAAAAAGGAACCCTCACACACTGTTGGTGGAACTGCAAAATGGTACAGCCTTTATGGAAAATGGTATGGAGATTCCTCAGACAATACAGAGAGATGTACCACTGCTGGGAATATACCCAGAGGAATGGAAATCATCATGTCGAAGGGATACCCATACTCCAGTGTTTATTGTAGCACTACTTACAATAGCTAAGAGTTGGAACCAGCCCAAACGTCCATCATCAGATAAGTGGATAAAACAAAAAATTTATACTTGAAGCAGTCTTTTGTAACATCTGAAATGTATTCCATTTGTTTTTTAAAAGTTTTTAACAATTTTAGCATTTAGACTTAGCAAGGTGTATGTGTAAAGGTCACATAAATTGAGGAAAGCGAAGCTGCAAGATGTCTTTTACAACAAAATCAAAAGAAAAATTCTTTTTAGGCAAACAACAGAATATGTTAAAAACTACTCAATGCAAGTATACTCAATCATAATCAATTTCATTAACTTATATATTCAACAAATATCTTCTAAATGCATTTACTATGTGTCAGGCAACATACTAGGGGCTACTAATATACGCACATATAAAACAAACATGGCCCTGATTACAGCTCCCTCTGCCATGGCTCTTATTCTCACTAATAAAATAGCAATTGACTAAAAATAATTTTGATTTCAGTATAATAATATCGTAATATTTTTATAGTGTTCAATATAACTAGGCATTCTTCATACATATATTAAACATATCATATATATTAAATTCATACATTTAATCCTCATGATAATTCCATGAGTTACTAGTAAACCCATTTTATTAAGGATGAAATTGGAGCACAAAGAGTTGAAAAACTTGCCCGAGGTCACTCAGCAACAGAGACAGGATGTAGATTCAGGCTGCCTGTCTCTTAACCATAGAGTGGCACTGCCTCTCCATGTTGAAATAATAACAACAACCTGATAGGGTGATAATGAAGAGTAAATAATTCGATACTTACACAGCACATAGGGCAATACCTGGCACATAACAAATGTACAATGAAAGGCAACTATTATTATTATTACAATTTTTATTACTGAATTATTGACATTGATAAAGTATTAAAAACCATAATGCCTTTCAGGTAGTTATCCAATGATTTTGATGTTTGATATTTGTTCTTTATTGTGGGGCAAGTGGAATTTGTAATAATATTTAATTCTACATGAATCTATTCAATTTTGGCTGGTATGATATATTTGTCAACTTGTCCTAAACAAAATTTTCCTAGAAACTTGAAAATTAATGCTGATATCTTTAGTCTTTCCATGCTTCCTTGGTCTCTTCCCACCCAGTGTGTGTGTGTGAGTGTGTGTGTGTGTGTGTACGTGTGAGAGAGAGAGAAATATGAAGAAAAAAGATATATAGAAGTTGTTGCTACATTTGTTAGTCGATTCACTTTATAAATTTTGAACTATATTATTCTACATCATCATTCCAACCTAACCTCATTTTTTCTTAATGAGTTAAACTTAATCAGTTATCTTTCTTTTCAATGCTTTTTCACTGAACTAAAAAGCAGCCTGGGTTTTTCCACAGAGGTGTGTTTAGAAGGAAGACTTCTTCAGGCAGTTGACAAGTTTCATCAAACTATAAACAGTGTCCACTACTGAATTCAAACTCCTGAACAGAAGCCACTGCAAATGAATATACAGTGAAGACTCACCCAAGCCAGGTGAGGTCATTTGAGGCCACATGAAATGAAGGACAGAAGGAGTAAACAACTTCCAATAAGAAGGGCTTGTCCCAAACACAAGAGCCATTCCCTTTCAATGCTGAGTTCAAAATCTAACTCAGAAGACTGCAACCTTCAAGCAGTAGTTGTTAATATGAAATAATCCTTCCAATGTGATTTTGTGTATCTCTTCATGTTCCAGATTGTTTCCTCCTATGTCTACTGGTAACTGATGTAAGAGAAGCAAGAAGAGTCACCTGCTGAGCTTTTAAAACTTGACTTAATCTCTGCAGCAACTCTGAGTTTCACTTAAGAGTTTAAACCCTAAAAATTCTCCAGAGAAGAAATTTTTTCAGTTTACTAACTGGAATTCACCCGTTTCTGCCCCTTTACTATGATTTCCCAAAATTAAATTTTAAAAATCCTGTAACATTTTACATTGAAAAAACAAGAAAGATATATCAACATTTCCCAAGTATTTGCTTACTTTATTTTGATTAAACACATTAAGAATAATTTTAATTCATATATTCACTTATTTTTCTTATTTAAATGGACATTCAAAGTAATCATTCAAAATTTTACTTGATGCACAATATCTTCATTTATCAATAAGCTTACACTTCCAAAGAGTAATAGAAAAGCTTCCACGTCACTATGTTGCAAGATTCAGAAGGCCAAACACCTCTTATGTCATAATCACAGTTAATTTCTAAGATAGTACTTGACACATATTAGCGGGTAATCATACGTTACTGAACGTAAAAGTAAATATCCCTTTATAATCTTTGACTAACTTCACTTTGCAATTGGCCGACTATGTCCTCCAAATACAAGCAGATTTCTCCTATCTTTCTTAATCGCCATATTTCCACAGGTACCAAGTTGTTTTCCTTGATAAACTGGTGTAGTGATGTTGAAAATAAATATTCATTTTTGTGTTTAAGTCAAAGAGGTAATAACCTTTTCCTGTTTTCAAACTCATCATTTTAATCTTTTCTTTAGAAATCTCCTAAATGTGTTTTAAATTTTTTCTTTTGAAATAAATTTACAGAAGAGCTGCAGAGTTCCCACATACCCTTCACCCAGCTTTCCCTAAAATTTCCATTTTATATAACCATGGTACATATATCAAAACTAAGATATTAACATTGTTACAAAACCATTAAGCTACAGACTTTATTTGAATGTCATGAGTTTTTCCGCTAGTGTCCTTTTTTATTCCAAAATCCAGTCCATGAAACTACGCTGCATTTAGTCAGCTTGTCTCTTTAGTCTCCCCTGATCTATGAAAGTTTCTTAGTCTTTCCTTGTCTTTTACGATCTCAACATTTTTGAAGAATACTCATCAGGTATTTTGTTGAATGTCCCTCAATTTGGGTTTGTCTGATGTCTTCTCATGATTAGACAGAGTATAAAGTTAGGAGAAGAACACTACAGAGTTCAGGTGCCCTTCTCACTGCATCACACTGCAGGGTACATGACATCAACATGAGTCATGACTGCTGATGGAAACCTTGAACACTTGATTAAGGTAAGCTGGTGTCTGCCAAGTTACCCAGCCACACAGTTACTTATTCTTCCCTTTCCGTACTCTACTTGTTACAAGAGAGTCTCTAAGCCCAGCCCAAACTCAAGGAGAGAAGAATTAACACATCAAAGAATGTGTTAAAGTATGTTAAAAAAAA